TCTCCCTCATGCAAAGCCCTAGGACATGTGACATGGGCATTAGGGTTCCTTCTAATAAAAACAGCATAAAATGTAATGCATGCATCATTATAACATGATGTGAGCCAGGGCATGGAGGATCTATCACCCAGAGCCATGACTAAGTCAGTCGTGACATGAACCCCTCACAATCTGGAGGCTAAGGGTTAATGAGTGTGGCATAGGAATGTAATACCCTGTCCCTTTACATCCCATCCTCAGCGAGATGATGGTACCCCCCTACCCCCATGGAATTCCGATGACTGGCCATCCTCAGATGTTGTTCCAATCCAACCTTGTGCCTGGCCGAAGCACATTGCCGCTCCATCCATACAAAGTACCGCAGCCACAACCTCAACCGCTCATTCCACCTGTAAGTCAAAGCATGCAAAGGTTTAGAATTGGTGGGTTCACTTTTTTCAAAATACCAAAAAATCTGTTGATTGAATGTAAAATTAAGGCAGGGGAGACTCTGCATGAGGCTATAGGTAAAGTTAAGCTTCATTAGTCTTTTTCTACTTTTTTCCTTTATTTTTTCTTTAGTTAGCTAAACTTGAATTTAATCCAGTGGTGCTGGATAATTCACACAGTGTACTTTTATTTTCTTTTTTGAATTTTGTTTTCACATAGACGGCTCCACAAGTGCACAGCCACCAAGGAACCAGTAATAAGCCTGCATGTCCTCAGCTGATTTCCCCTTTCTTTGAGGTTTTGAGTTTGTTTGTTTTTCAATTATGATTATTATAATACTATTAACAATACTACTAATAATAAAAGATAAAAAAGACTTAGTATAGTATGGACATAGTATGTATTCTTGCCATCTTAGCAATTGGGTTAAATTCTTAGGATTCGGATACAATATATGTTATATTAAAAAAAAATCTAATTCATCTGTAAGACATCAGCCTGAAAAAAGAAGTTATAAGAGTCTGAATGCAAAATGTAGTGTTTGTTTAAAGACAAATGCAAATACATTAACCTATTGATGCCAGGAGGGTTGGTGTACATGCCCTGTCCAAAGTACTTTTCCTTTTCCTTTTCCCTTCTTTCTTTCTTTTTTATGGGTTGATGGATGGATGGATTCACAAGTGTTTAACTGAGGACTCAGTTACTAGGCAGTAATTTTATCACCTGTTTGCCCAATTCTTTCATTTTTCTTAAAGACAAGTTATTATTGGTAACTCATTAGTTCTGGATACTTCACTGCCATCATGTGGTAAAAGATACAGGCATTAGGCTTACTTGAACAGCTACTCTGCTGGGTGTGTAGCTTGTAGGCCAGGCACACATGGGCTGCATAAGTGTTTTTATTTTTTTGCTATTTTCCAGTGTCTATATTTCTCATTTGATTTGCTTTGTCAAGATGGTAATAGACTGTTTCCTTGTGCAGACTCCATATCATCTCTTTAGATAGCTCATAACTCGGTGCAGTAATAATAACAATAAGCAACAATTTGTTATTTGTGTCATTTTTTAAATATTTTTTCCTAACATTCAATTTTCTGTAATACAACCTATGCTGCCAATCACAGCTGGCGGGGACAGGATCCTGAGCATGGAAATAGTGTCCTCCCTGGCACTGGCGCTCTTCCAGTCATGGCTCACAGATGATACATTCCACACTCATTTATAAATGGAAATAGTGCAAGGCCTCTTCTAAATACCCACTGAGTCTAATCACCCTCCAAGAGCTTTGTGCACTTGGGGCAAGTCATTCCTGTCACCCAGGCCTTCAGCCAAAATTCTCATGACAGTATGTTCTTGTCACTTCAGCTCTTTGCCAGATTTTTCCATGACAACATATACAAGTCACCTGGCCCTCAAACCCAACATTTTCATGACGTGGTGGTCATATAATCCAGATCATAGGAGTGAACGCTTTCACACCAGATGATATCTATTTATGCCATAGCCAACTGGCTAGTGTCCATGCCACATGTAGTCAAGCCTTTTCTGATTTGTGTGTGCTAAAACTGCAGTCATTAAGGAGATACAGCTGCACAAAAGTAGGCTTGAAGTCCATTTTTTTACTCTCATATCATAAGAAGCATGTACTCTTCAGGCAAATGTATGATCCCACACTTCTAATTTTTCTCTTGTGACTTCACATGATCCATGGTATGTAGCTTGGTATGCCATGTGAATGAGTTAATAATGTTAGTAATGATAGTATTAGAAGTAAAACTTCTTTCCCAAAAAAGGTAAGGTATGTGGTAAAGAGGTGAAGAGAGGTAGGTCTAGCAATTGATAATGAAGCACTTGTTAAGTCATCTATGTGTAAACAAAATTGATGAAACTAAAGTTCAAAGACATTGTATATAAAATGGCATCACTGAATAAGTGCATAGCAGAATTAAATAAAAATCCAAGTACAGCATGGAAATGCAATATATACAGTGCTTATCACCATTGTTTCTTTCTTTTTTGCATCTGTTTTTCATGTGTATGCTTGATTAGTACTTGAAAAATCAATGCTAATAATTAGTGGGACATAGTTTGTTGATACTCAACAGATGGGAAATAATTGTTGTTTTGCTAGCTAGTTACACCTGTATTGTCTTCTGTTAATAGCAGAATTTTTTGTTGGAAGTTAGTTCTTGCACATATTGTTGATGAATTAAAGATTAGTAATATGATCAATTTGCAACTACATCCCTGGTATTCCTTGGTCCTACTGCATCTTTCAGTTTCACTATCTCTAGTAGATACCTAATGTAATCTTTAAAATATACTTCACTTAAGGTAATAGAAAATTGCTGTTTTATGTAGAATATTTTCTTAGAACCATGTTTTTTTTACCTCCACCAATACCTGCTAACTCATTGGATAGTTTGTGTTTTACTGTGGACTTTCCATGTACTATGCTGTGGACATTTTGCAATATTGAACAGTAAAGTTTTCAGATCTAACATGATTGAATCTGTTTTATAACAAGAAGCCTTTTCAGGCCCTTGCCATCTTAAACTCTTTAAACTCTTAACCCCTTGGATCCAGTTGCATCATGGCAATCACATCACTAAAAATCTAGGCATTAGGCTTACATGAGTGGCCATTCTGCCGGTTGTGCGGCTTGTAAGCTGGGCACACAATTACGAGACTCTATGCCTCCTATTTGCAATGTTATTTCCTCTTTATACACAAAAGTGTTTTTATCTATTTTTGCCATTTTCCAGTTTACATAATTTAGATGGTAATCTCTAGGTAATCTACAAGTCAGTGCAAGAAAAAGAAAAATATGTAACTGTTGTTTGTGCCATTTTTTATATTTTCTTGGTAATATTCAATTTCTTGTAATGCAGTCTGCATTGCCAGTCACAGTGCTAGGCATGATATGCTGAGCATGGAAATGGCATCCTCCATGGAGCCAGTGCTCTTTCAGTCATGGCACACAGACATTATATGCCACACTCATGCATCAAGGGGAATAATGCAAAATTGCCAAATAAGTCTAATCAACCTCCCACAAGGTTTGTGCACTCATGGTGAGTCTTTCCCATCACCTAGCCCTTCAGCCAAAATGCTCATGATGGCATGTTTGCGTCACCCAGCCTGGAGCCAGATTTTCCCATGATGGCATTTTCATGTCCCCTGCCCCTTTGAGCCAGATTTTTTATGACATGATGGTCACGTCACCCAGATTGAAGGGGTTAACTCTAAGGTTTTGAGAAATCCCACATTTCACAATGATCACCCAAATTTTAACCTTCTAACTTTCTACAGGGTTCTATGAAGAGATCACGCACACCATCTCCTCCTCCACAACCAGGCTACCAACAGATCCCCTACAACTTCAAGAACCTTTCTGGACATCCCCCACCAAGTGTACCTGTCTCTCTGCCCACAACCAGTACGTTTTGCATTGTTGTCATTGTGTTTTAGGAAAGATGAGCTCTGGCATTTGGTGTTTTTTTTCCTTTCTTTTTCTTCCAATTCTTATTTTTTCCACTAAAAAAAATCCTGTGTTGGATATCTTTCTTTATTGCATAACCTATCCAAATCCTGTTTTTTTAGACTTTTTTAAGGAAGTTTCTTGAATGTTTGTAAAGGCTTTGTGTCATGAAGTTTCATATTCAAGACTGCATGACCTGTGCTCAATGTTGTCTTATCCATTACCTTATGAAGTATCAGTAAAGCAAACCTTGAAATATTTTTGTTATTCCTTATTCAGTTATACTGTCATTACTCTTTTGTCCAACAGATAACCAGTTCTTCTAAGTGACAGAGAAAATACCAAATGACCATGTGATTTCTTGGGTTTTAGTCAGTGTGTTGTGTTTTAAAGTTTTAATTTAATCCTGTAAGGGTACCTGCTGCAATAGGAAATTTTACTTTAAGAAATAGCAAAAGATTTTTTTATTGAACAAAATACTGTTTATATAATAAATGTCAAATGAAAATGTACACTTGAAAACACTATCCAACAGCCTATCACAAAACTGATATTACAATAATAACAACATAAGTAATTCATATCTCATCTTAACCCAATGTCAGTAGGTGATTTCCCGAGCCTCAAGCCCTACCTCCCGGGTTGTATTCATAGTGGCTCGTGTCATTACCCTAGCATGCGCGACCGCTCAAGCCCAGCACCAGCATTCCTTGCCTTCTCTTCGTCATACACTGAATCTATTTTGTATTTTCAGTATTATTATTTTCTAAGGTCTATATTTGCCATATTTTCTGATAAGGCAAGACCGTAGGATATTTTTGTTGTTGTATAGACTTCATAATTGTTCATTATTCACTCTATAGTCTGAATAGAATAAGCAGTGTGTGGTATCATGACCTGACCTCTTGACTCTGGCATCTTCTGGGAGATCACTTCACTCATATGCCCTCTGAGTGCCTTTTGCACAGCATAAGCATTGACCACTGCTATGGTCTGGCTTTTAGCTTCTGGTATCATTTTGGTGACCCTGCCTTGAACGCAAATGAGACCTGCAGTCAGGGATCTTGTTGCTGCTGTAGGGCCTGCCTCTCCACAACAGGTGATCTGGCTGCTGTCTGGTTCCTGATGACATCGGCCCCAGCTCTGAAATCCTCCAGTAGCTCAGAGGAGAAGCTCACTTAAAGTTTTCTGAGAATACTCCCTGCAAAGCGCACAATGGATGGCCAAGCATTGTTGACAGCTATTTGAAAAGGAAGAGGATCTTCCTGTACCAAACCTTACACTGGTGAGCAGTTGGTAGTAGCAGCCTTACCTTGATGCTACAGTAGTCAACATCACCCTCCTTACACTGAAGTCCTTGGGCATAAACTTACTGTTCAGCTGAGTTGTTCCTACCACAAAGATCCCTTCGACTTGCAACAGAAGAAAGTGACTTGGTGATGTGTACCAGTCGTCAACAAACAACAGCTATCTTAGATCAAGAAAACCACCAGTCTCCATCAAATACAGCAAGGCTTGTGTGGATGAGGGCATGTAGTCGGAGACCTATCTGGTGTACCCTGCTGCTGGTTGGGTACCATCTTAGAGCTTATAGACCTTCAACCCATATTTTGCCCTCTTGCTGGGGTTGAAGGTCTTGAAAGATAGTTGCCTATGGAACTTCCACAATGACTAGTTGATGATTGTGTCCCTCTCTGGCACAAAGGTTGAGAGGAACTATTTGCTTAGGGTGTCCATGACTGGTTGGAGTTTCCACATTCTATCCTCTGGGAGTGGGGCTTCTTCCACAGTGAAGTCTAGGTAAGTTATCAATTGGTCAAACATATCCTTGAATGAGGTCATGCCGCAACACGTGATAGGTTGACCAGTAATTGCAATGATTGAGGCATGACACTATCCCCATTATCACTTAGATTCTAAGGTATGTAAAGACCACCTGCCTAGATGTGGGTGCCCAATGCCTCATGTATGGTGAGGCAGCAGGGGGGTGGGGCTGAGTCTGTCTGAATGAAAATGACAGCTCAGTGCAAGAGATATTTTCTCTATATTAATACAGATGGAAAGAACACAAAAACAAAAGTTATGAAACTTACCTGTTGGTCTCCTTGACATTGTGATCAAGGAGAGTGTCGGTAAAAAACAACCAAGGATCTCCGAGGGTGTCGAGGTTGACCCCAACTGCCAGAAAACTTAAAATGCTGGGGGATGTTGTCACCAGACAAAGTATGGAGTCCCTGGAACAATAGCAATAGTCGGACAACCACATTGGCTCATCACTGTCAGGTGTGGTGTCACCTTGGAAGGTGTAATCCAGTTCATTCTCTAAACCGGACACTTCAAACTGTGGGTCCATGGCAGTCTCTGCCTTTTGCAGCAACCACTCTTCTCCATTTTCCTCAGAGGAGTAGTCAAAGAAGATGGGTAAGAGGCAATGATACGGTTAATGGATGGCACTGCAGCTCCATGGCAAGAGGTGCTGATAATGTTAATGGCTGGGGGGTCATCAGTTTCAGAGGAGGAGGAGGAGCATCTGCAAATGCTGGTAAAACAAGGCATTGTGAGAGCAAGTAATGCATAAGGTGAAAGCACTCTAATACATACAGGAAAATTCCCTGCTTCGACCTGTCTGGGAAAAGAAAACCAACCATGGCCACTGAGGTCAAAGCAACCTGGTTCACATGTCACATAACGTGACCAATCATGCCATAGCTTAGCATACTGATGTCAATTCCTTGTGGGATATTATTTATTTATCTATTACTTCATGGAAGTGAAGTGGGCAGCTGTAAAGTGACATCACTTCCTTTTATGACATCTTGAAATAAATATGATCACTAGAGTGATATCACTTTCTCTGCCCTGTGATATCCTTAAGCTTCATGACATCACTTCCTTTTATGACATCTTGAAATAAATATGATCACTAGAGTGATATCACTTTCTCTGCCCTGTGATATCCTTAAGCTTCATGACATCACTTCCTTTTATGACATCTTGAAATAAATATGATCACTAGAGTGATATCACTTTCTCTGCCCTGTGATATCCTTAAGCTTCATGACATCACTTCCTTTTATGACATCTTGAAATAAATATGATCACTAGAGTGATATCACTTTCTCTGCCCTGTGATATCCTTAAGCTTCATGACATCACTTCCTTTTATGACATCTTGAAATAAATATGATCACTAGAGTGATATCACTTTCTCTGCCCTGTGATATCCTTAAGCTTCATGACATCACTTCCTTTTATGACATCTTGAAATAAATATGATCACTAGAGTGATATCACTTTCTCTGCCCTGTGATATCCTTAAGCTTCATGACATCACTTCCTTTTATGACATCTTGAAATAAATATGATCACTAGAGTGATATCACTTTCTCTGCCCTGTGATATCCTTAAGCTTCATGACATCACTTCCTTTTATGACATCTTGAAATAAATATGATCACTAGAGTGATATCACTTTCTCTGCCCTGTGATATCCTTAAGCTTCATGACATCACTTCCTTTTATGACATCTTGAAATAAATATGATCACTAGAGTGATATCACTTTCTCTGCCCTGTGATATCCTTAAGCTTCATGACATCACTTCCTTTTATGACATCTTGAAATAAATATGATCACTAGAGTGATATCACTTTCTCTGCCCTGTGATATCCTTAAGCTTCATGACATCACTTCCTTTTATGACATCTTGAAATAAATATGATCACTAGAGTGATATCACTTTCTCTGCCCTGTGATATCCTTAAGCTTCATGACATCACTTCCTTTTATGACATCTTGAAATAAATATGATCACTAGAGTGATATCACTTTCTCTGCCCTGTGATATCCTTAAGCTTCATGACATCACTTCCTTTTATGACATCTTGAAATAAATATGATCACTAGAGTGATATCACTTTCTCTGCCCTGTGATATCCTTAAGCTTCATGACATCACTTCCTTTTATGACATCTTGAAATAAATATGATCACTAGAGTGATATCACTTTCTCTGCCCTGTGATATCCTTAAGCTTCATGACATCACTTCCTTTTATGACATCTTGAAATAAATATGATCACTAGAGTGATATCACTTTCTCTGCCCTGTGATATCCTTAAGCTTCATGACATCACTTCCTTTTATGACATCTTGAAATAAATATGATCACTAGAGTGATATCACTTTCTCTGCCCTGTGATATCCTTAAGCTTCATGACATCACTTCCTTTTATGACATCTTGAAATAAATATGATCACTAGAGTGATATCACTTTCTCTGCCCTGTGATATCCTTAAGCTTCATGACATCACTTCCTTTTATGACATCTTGAAATAAATATGATCACTAGAGTGATATCACTTTCTCTGCCCTGTGATATCCTTAAGCTTCATGACATCACTTCCTTTTATGACATCTTGAAATAAATATGATCACTAGAGTGATATCACTTTCTCTGCCCTGTGATATCCTTAAGCTTCATGACATCACTTCCTTTTATGACATCTTGAAATAAATATGATCACTAGAGTGATATCACTTTCTCTGCCCTGTGATATCCTTAAGCTTCATGACATCACTTCCTTTTATGACATCTTGAAATAAATATGATCACTAGAGTGATATCACTTTCTCTGCCCTGTGATATCCTTAAGCTTCATGACATCACTTCCTTTTATGACATCTTGAAATAAATATGATCACTAGAGTGATATCACTTTCTCTGCCCTGTGATATCCTTAAGCTTCATGACATCACTTCATCTACCTACCTGCCTGACTCTCTGTGTCCATCTATTTATCTAACTTACAAGTTAACTATCTAGTTATCTATCTCCACTTGCCTGCCTCTCTGTCTGTCTGACTATCTATATATATATATATTCACATATATACAGCTATTTTTCATGGCCTCTCTCTAGCAGGGTGGGAAGGGAGGCAGTATCACCTCCGGCTTCCCAGTCCGTACTGCTCCACCATCTTCCCAGCCCCCCTCTCCTGTGGTGAGCTCTGCTCCCCATGCCAGCAAGCCTGATGCCAAACCAAGAGTTAGTATTGCAAACACATTTCTTGTAGTTTGGTACATGTATGTGTGAGTCCAAGCATGCATGTGAGTGTGTGTGTGTGTGTGTGTGTGTGTGTGTGTGTGTGTGTGTGTGTGTGTGTGTGTGTGTGTGTGTGTGTGTGTGTGTGTGAGAGAGAAAGGTTGAGCAAGTGCACATTCCATGTGTGTGTGTGTCTAGTTGTATGTTTCTTTGTCTGTGTGCCTTTTAGACCAGCTGATGAGTGAGTAAGAAGTCTTGTGTTTATATTTTATTAATTTGGTTGTGACTAAGATGAAATGTGTATTTATTGGATTACAAGAGGATACTTTTGTTGAAAAGCGTAAAGTTTACTCATACATGCTAATTTTCTCCCAAGTGTAAGTTTTCTTGCATTACAAAAAAAAAAAAAAAAAAAAAAAAAAAAAAAAAAAAAAAATAATAATAATAATAATAATTTATCTTTTCCATTCCAGTCATATAGTAACCAGCATCCAAACTACACACGTTCATTCTACTGAAGCACCATTCAGTGTGATGAAGTCTCAAGAAAATGTTCTAAGGGAAATAAATGCTTACAAAGGTCTGAATCTCATCAAGCAACAGAGCATTTTTGTCATTAGGGGTATCAGTTTCTCAAGATTTTGTATCTTTTACTGATATCAGTAACTATGATAACTACCAAGTTTCCAATTTTGAAAGTAACATTTACCATATCCATTGATGTTATTACACTTGGCAATGTATCAGTACTTATGATTATGTATATTTCCTCAGTCAAGGTTTTTGTAAGATAGATAGATAGATAGATATATATTACTTATTTTAATATGACATTGCAGTATATTTTTCTTTTCTTTTCTTTTATTGGTTAAGGGTTAATGAATATAACATATAGAGGTTGAGCCTTGATCTGTACTCTTCTTGAATCATCAAGGGAAGAGATGTACATGTACTGTACTGATGATATGTTGGGTGTAAGTAGATCGCAAATTACAAATTTCTTTTCCTTGGGGCATCATCTTTGTATTTTATTTAGGGAAGAGACCACTTTATGAATGAGGCAATTTTTAAATAAAAATATTTTAAAGGAAGTTGAGTAGCAAGTAATGTTTTTTTCTTTTTCATCTCACACACATGAAGTCACTCCCCCCATTATTTATTTATTTATTTATTTATTTTTTATACATTTAAAAAAGTAGGTCCAGCTTTTTAAATCTAACCTTGACAAACAGAAATACCAAATTCGATGTGGATGCTACTTGAATAAGCTGCCTTGCCTTGATGCACACTGGGTTAATTAAGTACAAGGTAAGATTGAGTGAGAAGTAAATTTGATAGAAAAAAAAGATGCAGCATATATAGGTAAATGTGTTACTCAAGTTTTCTATATAGCTTACTCAAAGATTCTGAAGAAAAAAAAAATGATGTGTGTTTACTTTTCCTGTGTATATTTAACTTTCAACTGTAACCCTTCAGATGAGATTTATGTTCCATATGTGTATGCCCATTGGTTAATGGTTAATGGGTATAAAGCAAAATAAAGTGTTGGACATCAAAGGTGTATATATACACACCTGTAAAAATGTGTAGTAGTAGAAAGGGTAAAGAAGGGGGTTTAAGTGAAGATTAAATGAGCTACACATCAAAAGTCTTATTGCAGTTCAGGATAGTATGGCATATAAAGGGGCAAATAGGTGTGAGGGTAGAGAGGGTGAGCAAGGGGGCTAAGGGAGGAAGATGGTCATTCGATCAAAGTTGTCAAAGGAAAAAATGTGGGATTCTGCAAGGATGTCCACAGGGTGAGGCAGAGATTAGCAAAAGGAGAAAAAAGTGTTTAAAGGAATTAGATCACAGTTTTAGGGGAAATGTCAGGAAAGAGATAATATAGGAAAGGGGGGGGTTGTAACATAAGGGAGGAAGGGATAACAAGGAAGGAAGGGGGTATGATAACAAGCAGGGGCAGGGGGAGGGAATAGGATGTGTTGGAAGGGGGTGGGAAGAAGGGGTGTAGGAGGAACATGAGTTCCTCCTACACCCCTATCAGCATTCTGAGAGATTGGGGGATGGATGAGGTGTAGGTCTGTTATCTTAGGTCATGATCAGATAGTTTTGAATGTCTTCAAGAGTTTCTGGCCTCACATAAAATTAGGCCAAGTTTGATACTGAGAATTACCACCTTAGACTCAAACTTATAAGTAGGGCAACCCTTATAAAATATATTATGGGAGCAACCACAACTGGCAGATATGCGTGATTATGCAGAGGAATTTGATCAAGCGTAACTGGGTTGGGCATATAGGGGGCATCAAGCTGGGGAGCAGTAGTATTTGGTGGGGTGGCCTAGATGCCAACAATTCTGACATCTGATGGGGACTGGGGGTTGATGTGGTCTGACAAGGAGGAACTCTCTGCCAATAGAAACATCTTGGGAGGTTATGACTATGGAAAGTAATCTTTCCCATGGCTCCCCTGTAATTGTGTAGCATTGTACTGATATGTTATCATAGTCAACTGGCAGGTGAATAAGTCGATAGGACAGTCTGCTGACAGTCTGAGGGATGAGAGTGGGCATGCCATTGAAGTCAGAGTAGATAATGCTTTAATCTGGGGTTTAGATGTAACTGTGGCAAGGGACAGCTGTGGAAGGAAATTTGCCAACTCATTTCGGGAGGCATTTTTGAGAGGAAAGTGCTGTAGAGGAAGTCAACGAAAATTGATTCCATCTGACTGGGCTAAACAGAGTAGTCAAAAGATTTGTAGAGGTGGGGGTAGTAGAAGGATGGGGCCTTGTGGAAGAGGTAATGGTAAGTAGTACTGTAGACTGTAGGCACTGAGGAGAGGTAGTAATAGTGTTCAGAGTTGTGGTCAAAGGAGAACCTGGGGTCAGGGAACTGGATGAATTAAAATCATTGGGGCTAGCTGATAAAGGGGCAAGTTTCATTGCCCCTAATGAAGGTATAAGATCTTCATTACTGGCCATGGTAAGCCAATAGTATGTTGGGAAGGGAAATGGTCCACCCCTCAGGGTATAGGATTGACAGCTAAACAGGAATACCGTGCCCATGGCTCCCCTAGGCCGATCATGAGTCAGATGAGTCAGATTTTCATCCTTTCAACATGGTTCTCACACCTGGATAATAGAAAGGGTTGGAAAAGAGAAGGAAAAAGAAAGATGACTGCAAAATTAGTGGAGTCAAGGCCTGAAGCCCAAAGTAGAGGTGATCCTCAACACTAGGCCTCAGTCTCCGTCTCTTAAGCCCCCATTGTTTAATTGTTTGCAAAAACATACACATGCATGCATGCACATGCTGTGTTGTGCAGTGGTAGAGATTTTGTCTAACAAGTTACAGACCTGCATTCAAACCCTACACTGCCCGAGGATGGTATCTCCTGCCATTTCTTGCATATACCACACTGAAGTCACCCAGAACAATACGAATATCTCGCTAAGGACAGCTGTCTGTCACAGATGCAAGTTTGGCGTAAAACATCTCTTTCACCTCAAGTTCATATACATCCGTAGGAGCGTACACAGGAATAAGAGACATGAAGCCAAATAAAAGCTTCAGTTTCAATACCATAATACGCTCATCGACTGGAGTGACCTCTACTACCGAGGGTTGAAGTCTGTTGGAGGTGGCTATGGCTACTCCCTGGAGATGGTGGCCATCGCTGCGGCCCGACCAGTAATATGTGTAGCCACCCACACTAATCGTGCCGCTGCCAGGTCTTCTCACCTCTGGGAGAGCATCCACCTCAACTCTCAGCTGCTTCAATTCCCTCGACAGTGGTAGTAACTGATCGTCCTGTCGCAAGGAACGGACATTCCAGGCCCCCACCCTGACAGCCCGCCTGAGGTCTAACCTCAGACAGTCACTCCGGGTGGGTGCCACCTCTGCCACCACTACCGACGCCGCCCCATATAGAGAAGGTTAGCTGGCTGAAGGTCCCATAATCCGACTGCAGGGCTCCCTAGGGCTTTCCCCCACAAGCATCACGCCAGGTTGGCGGCCGCCGGAACCCAGATGGGATGACAGGTAACCCCCGCTTTCTGGCATATCTAACCTCACGTTTATGTTCATTGATTCTTTTTTCAAAAGCTCTACCGGTCTCGCCAATGTAAAACTTGGGGCAATCCTTACAGGGTATAGTATAAATACCGGGAGAAGTCCCAAGAGCACCGCTAGTCGCATTGTGTTTAACCAAAGTATTGCGCAACGTGTTTGGATACGTAAACACAATGTCAATTCCAACGGCTTTAAACATGTGACGTTTCTCATCGAGAGACGGGTTATACGGAATAAATAGATTGTTGTCACTGTCCTGTTGAGTATTACGGGAATGAGTATAAAACTTCCATCTCGCGGATGAATGGGCCTGATTTAAGAAAAAGCGCGGATATCCTAATTTCGAAAATGTTTCAAATATGACGTCAATTTCACGATCGATAAATTTGCTCCTACGGATGTATATAAACTTGAGGTGAAATAGATGTTTTACGCCAAACTTGCATCTGTGTCAGACAGCTGTCCTTAGCGAGATATTCGTATTGTTCTGGGTGACTTCAGTGTGGTATCTGGCTGCGATCGAGCTGGCTACGAGATGTCTGTTGGTCCTCATGGCTCAGGGGCTGATGTTGGCAGCGAGAAAAGCCTCTTTTTCTGTGACTCTGCTATGTCCCAGAAATTGAGGATTTCTGGCTCCTGATATCAGTATTCTGACCCGCATCGTTGGACTTGGTACAGTGATATGGGTAGTGTCGCTAAGGAGATCGACCACATCCTTATTAGCACGTAATGGAGGATACTCCAGAAGTGCAGGGTGTATCGAAGCGCCGAGTTCTATGGAACTGATCATAGATTAGTGGTAGCTACTCTCCGGTCGAACACCCTAGGGTGTTTCATTTGGACAGATTGAGGGAGGACGAGAGTGCCCGGGAGTTTGCCGAGGCTATCTCTGGTCGCCTCACAGCACTTGAGGGCCTGACAGACTCTGTTCTTCTGTGGGATACCTTCAAACGTGAAATGCTTGATGCAGCCCAAGAATTGATTGGTGAACGCCTAAGAGCAGACAGAATTCCATCTCGCAGAAGACACTGGAAGCCACAGATGCTTTTCATGCAGCTTGATTGTCAGGGGATCGCAACTTGCACTGTTCTCTGGTAAGCAGGACTAGGTCACTGTTGAGAAGGGGTAAGGAATAGTTTATCATTAATCTTGCAGAGGTCGAAAGCCATTTCCTAGTAAATGACCTTCGTCCTGCCTACCAAGCTCTGAGAAAGCCCTCCTCACAGATGACCAGTCCGCTCAGCAAGGGGCCAGATAATCTCAGATCCTGATGGGGTGTGTGTGCTTCGGGCTGAGTATTTTGAGCACTTGTATCAGGTTGATCCACCAACAGTTATATGTTGAGGTATAGTTATAGGTAATGTTGAGATTCCTCTGCCAGACCCACCCATCAGCGAGGATCCACCCTCTCTGACTGAAGTCAGGGGGGCGATCTCCAAGCTGAAGAGTGGTAAAGCAGCAGTGTTTGTGGCATCCCAGCTGAATTGTTGAAGGCTTGTCGAGAACCTATGTCAAGGGGTCTGTATGCAGTCTTATCTGCCATCTGGCAGACTGGTATCATTCCCCCTGACCTGCAGGGGGGTGTGGTCATCCCTCTCTGGAAGGGGAAAGGGGATCGGTGGGACTGCAGCAATCACCAAGGCATTACACTACTCAGTATACTAGGCAAGGTTCTCGCACACATTCTACTGAGACGTATCAGAGGCTACCTGCTGAGACACCAAAGCCCGGAGCAATCTGGATTCATTCCTGGTAAGTCCACAATTGACCGCATCCTGGCGCTTCGAGTCATTGTAGAGCGGCGTCATGAGTTCGGACGTGGGCTGCTCGCAGCTTACATCGACCTTATGTAGGCGTTTGATATGGTGCATCACGAATCACTCTGGGAGATCCTGAGGATAAGAGGAATTCCAGCAAGGATTGTTGGATTAATAGCAAACCTGTATACAGGCACTGAAAGTGCTGTAAAGTGTGGTGGGGGCCTGTCGAGCTTCTTCCCTGTTTGTTCAGGTGTGAGGCAAGGCTACGTTCAATACTTGTATGGATTGAATATCGGGTAGAGTCACTGTCCAAAGTCACTGTGGAGCAACTATGGGCAATATCAAGGTTACAGACCTTGACTTTGCTGATGATGTTGCTATTCTATCTGAATCTCTGGATTTTGGGGGCCTACTAGGAGACTGTGCAGTCGGTAACACAGAGACTTATATACCTCGGTAGTGCAGTTCACGACTCTGGGCTGTCAGACCAGGAAGTCAGTAGATGAATTGGCCTGGCAGCAGGGGTCATGAAATCTCTTGACGAGAGTATTTGGAGATGCCGGTACCTGTGCAGAAGGACCAAGCTACGTGTTTTCAAGGCCCTGATACTTGGATGCTATCTTGTGCTTTGGAATTTCGTCTTGATGCCTGTTGTAACAGATCCTTGCGCCGGAACATGGGGTACATTCGGCGGGACCATGTGTCCAACCAACAGCTGCACCGTGAGACC